ATCTAAGTTTTGTTGAAAAGTTGGATAAAAAAAAGGAGGAAGTTCGATCCCCCCCCATTCAGGCCAGCGCCTGATCCTACGTGGCATTACACATAATGACAATCTCAGTTTGGTTGAAAAGTTCAAAAAAAAAAAAGGGGGAGGGTTCGATCCCCCCCCACTAAGGCCACCGACCGATCGTACGTGGCATTACACATAATCACGATCTCATTTTTGTTGAAAAGTTGGAAAAAAAAAAGGGGGAGGGTTCGATCCCCCCCCCTTAAGGCCAGCGACTGATCCTACGTGGCATTACAGATAATGACAATCTCATTTTTGTTAAAAAGTTCAAAATAAAAAATGAGGAGAGTTCGATCCCCCCCCATTTAAGGTCAGCGCCTGATCCTACGTGGCATTACACATAATGACAATCCCATTTTTGTTGAAAAGTTCGAAAAAAAAAAGGGGGAGGGTTCGATCCCCCCCCATTAAATCCAGTGACCGATCCTACGTGGCACTACACATAATCACGATCTCATTTTTGTTGAAAAGTTTGCAAAAAAAAAGGGGGAGGGTTGGATCCCCCCCCCTTAAGGCCAGCGACCGATCCTACGTGGCATTACACATAATGACAGCGACCGATCCTACGTGGCAGTACACATAATGACAATCTCATTTTTGTTGAAAAGTTCGAAAAAAAAAAGGGGGAGGGTTCGATCCCCCCTCATTAAGGCCAGCGCCCGATGCTACGTGGAATTATACATAATAATTATCTAAGTTTTGTTGAAAAGTTCGAAAAAAAAAAGGGGGAAGTTCGATCCTACCCCATTAAGGTCAGCGCCTGATCCTACGTGGCATTACACATAATGACAATCTCAGTTTGAGTTGAAAAACTCGAAAAAAAAAAAGAGGGAGGGCTCGATCCCCCCCCCATTAAGGCCAGCGACCGAACCTATGTGACATTACACATAGTCACGATCTCATTTTTGTTGAAAAGTTCGAAAAAAAAAAGGGGAGGGTTCGATCCCCCCCCTCTTAAGGCCAGCGACCGATCCTACGTGGCATTGCACATAATGACAATCTCATTTTTGTTAAAAAGTTTGAAATAAAAAATGGGGAGGGTTCGATCCCCCCCCATTAAGGCCAGCGCCTGATCCTACGTGGCATTACACATAATGACAATCCCATTTTTGTTGAAAAGTTCGAAAAAAAAATGGGGAGGGTTCGATCCCCCCCCATTAATGACAGCGACCGATCCTACGTTGCATTACACATAATCACGATCTCATTTTTGTTGAAAAGTTCGAAAAAAAAAAGGGGGAGGGTTCGATCCCCCTCCCTTAAGGCCAGCGACCGATCCTACGTGGCATTACAGATAATGACAACGACCGATCCTACATGGCATTACACATAATGACAATCTCATTTTTGTTGAAAAGTTCGAAAAAAAAAAGGGGGAGGGTTCGATCCNATAATGACAACGACCGATCCTACATGGCATTACACATAATGACAATCTCATTTTTGTTGAAAAGTTCGAAAAAAAAAAGGGGGAGGGTTCGATCCACCCCCATTAAGGCCAGCGCCTGATCGTGCGTGGCATTACACATAATCACAATCTCAGTTTGGTTGAAAAGTTCGAAAAAAAAAAAGGGGGAGGGTTCGATCCCCCGCCATTAAGGCCAGCGACCGATCCTACGTGGCATTACACATAATCACGATCTCATTTTTGTTGAAAAGTTGGAAAAAAAAAGGGGAAGGGTTCAATCCGCCCCCCTTAAGGCCAGCGACCGATCCTACGTGGCATTACACATAATGACAATCTCATTTTTGTTAAAAAGTTCGAAAAAAAAAAAAAAGGGTGGGTTCGATCCCCCCCCATTAGGGCCAGCGACCGATCCTACGTGGCATTACACAAAAAGGGGAGGGTGACACACCTCTCGCTGCCATGGTCGAAGCTCACGCGAAATGCAGATCCAACTCTCTCTCTCTCTCTCTCTCTCTAGCTCGCGCATGCAAGAAAATCTGAACGGAGTGTGGATAGGCTCTCTCTCTCTCTCTTTCACCAGCTCGCACACAGGAATACGAATGGAGTGTGATTGGGTACTATAAAACCC